GAGAGGCCGTCCGCCTCCTGAGTTAATGCCTAACTTGCAGGCAGGGTGTGTCCGGCCAGGAGCTCAGGGACACTTGGAAGATTCCAGCGCTGACATGGCACCCCCCAGGTTTGCTCAGGGCAGGGAATGGGGCTGGGGGGCTGGAGGAAGAGGGAGGGGTGGGCGCAGGGGGGGAGAGAGGGCACCCCACTTCCTTCCCAGGGCAAACTCTTGCCCTCCAGCGACAGAGGCAGGATCCTGGGGGCGACTAGGCGGGGAGGGGAGGCATGTTGCCTTTTCACCCCGTTCCTGGGCTTCCAAAGGGGCGTCTGGCAGGCTGGGAGGCTGGACTAGAGGGGCCCCTTTGGGCCTGATCCAGCCCCTGCTGCAGAGGCGCATGTGGCTCAGGCTTTGGAGCTGAAATTCCCAGAAGTGGCTGGTGGTCTCTTGGGTGGGGGGCAGGTGTCCCCTCCCCAATGGGTCCAGGGGTCTTGGGGTCTCCCCTGTGTGTCTCTGAGACATTCTCCTTAGATGTGCAGGAGAGCCCTTATGTGTATGGGGGGGGGATGCCCCCACAGCTTGGTTTTCTCAGGGGGTGGGAGTCTCAGCCAGAGCCTGCCTTTAAAAGGTCTCTGCCCTGGTCCAGGCAACAGAAGGCAAGCAGCGGGGAGCCTGGGGAGGGGGCAGAGGGGCATTTCTCTCTCTCTCTCTCTCTCTCTCTCTCTCTCTCTAATTTTTATTTATTTTCCATTTAATTATATACATTCACATCATCATTATCCACTTTACCACCCTGGCTCTATCAACTTCCTTCCCTCCCTCCTCGTGGCTTTCAAAATTAAATTTATATCATTGCATTTTGTACGTTTTCCAATTCTAATTGCACTCATTACAGAATGACTCAAAATTTAAACAGATGTAGAAAGGTAGAAAATTTCTCATTACAAGTCTTCAGACAACCCTGCTAGCGATGTTAATTGCTTACAACAATCTTTCAAATATCGTATAATTTTACTCCAGTCCTTTTGGAATACTTGATCATGCCGGTTTCGGATTTTTCCCGTCAGCTTCGCCAGTTCCGCAAAGTCCATCATCTTCCTCTGCCCCCTTCTTCTGTTGGCACTTCTTTCTGGGCTAAAAGAATTATTGCCGCGGTTGTTGCACACGTAAACAGTCTTTTGTCTTCCCTTTGTATCTCTTCACCCAATATCCCTATAATTAGGTTTCTGATTTTTTATCAAAAGTACTTAAAAACATTTTCTTTTAACTCATTATATACCATTTCCCAGAAAGCCTTTGGGGCCAGAGGGGCATCTCAGTCCTCCTGACGGAGAACTAGAACTCGGAGCCTGTTTAGCAAGCTCATGCCCAGAGGAAGGGACCCAGCGCTGCTCTCTCAGGGCACAAGGCACACCGGGCAGCTTCCAGCCCTCTGCCCAGCTGGGCATCCTCAAAACCAAGCCCCAGCCGTCCTGAATTTGGTCAAGCTCTCAGTCAGACATGTTAGAAGTCTCTAAAATTACACAAGGCGTGGACAAAGGAAAGTTGTTCTCCCTCCTCCCTCCTAACACTGAAACCTACAGACTTTCAATGAAGCTGAAGACGGAGGAAAGATGAAAGGAATTGCTTCTCTATGCAGTGCAGTGTTAACCTATGGAACTCACCCCCTCAGGAGACAGTGATAAACCACAAACCTAGATGGCTTTAAAAGAGACAGCAGTGCTTCTGAATGCCAGTTGCTGGAAACCACAAGAGAGGAGAGGACTCTGGTGCTCGGGCCAACCTAATAATAATAATAATAATAATAATAATAATAATAATAATAATTTATTATTTATACCTCGCCCATCTGGCTGAGTTTCCCCAGCCACTCTGGGCGGCTTCCAATCGAGTGTTAAAAAACAGTACAGCGTTAAATATTAAAAACTTCCCTGAACAGGGCTGCCTTCAGATGTCTTTTTAAAAATAGGATAGCTGCTTATTTGCTTCACATCTGAAGGGAGGGAGTTCCATAGGATGGGTGCCACTACCGAGAAGGCCCTCTGCCTGGTTCCCTGTAACCTCACTTCTCGCAATGAGGGAACCACCAGAAGGCCCTCGGCGCTGGATCTCAGTGTCCGGGCTGAACGATGGGGGAGGAGACCCTCCTTCAGATATACTGGTTTAGGGCCGTTTAGGGCTTTCAAGGTCAGCACCAGCACTTTGAATTGTGCTCTGAAATGTCCTGGGAGTCAATGCAGATCTCTCAGGACCGGTGTTATGTGGTCTCGGCAGCTGCTCCCAGTCACCAGTCTGGCTGCTGCATTCTGGATTAGTTGTAGTTTCCAGGTCACCTTCAAAGGTAGCCCCACGTAGAGCGCATTGCAGTAGTCCAAGCGGGAGATAACCAGAGCATGCACCTCTCTGGCGAGGCAGTCCGCGGGCAGGTAGGGTCTCATCCTGCGTACCAGATGGAGCTGGTAGACAGCTGCCCTGGACACAAAATTGACCTCCATGGACAGCTGTGAGTCCAGAATGACTCCCAGGCTGCGCACCTGGTCCTTCAGGGGCACAGTGACCCCATTCAGGACCAGGGAGTCCTCCACACCCGTCCGCCTCCTGTCCCCCCAAAACAGTACTTCTGTCTTGTCAGGATTCAACCTCAATCTGTTAGCCGCCATCCATCCTCCAACTGCCTCCAGACACTCACACAGGACCTTCACCGCCCTCACTGGTTCTGATTTAAAAGAGAGGTAGAGCTGGGTATTATCCGCATACTGATGAACACCCAGCCCAAACCTCCTGATGATCTCTCCCAGCGGCTGCATGTAAATGTTGTAAATGTTGAAAAGCATGGGGGAGAGGACAGAACCCTGAGGCACCCCACAAGTGAGAGCCCAGGGGTCTGAACACTCATCCCCCCCCACCACTTTCTGGACACGGCCCAGGAGGAAGGAGCGGAACCACTGTATGACAGTGCCCCCAGCTCCCAGTCCCTCAAGACGGTCCAGAAGGATGCTATGGTCGATTGGTGTCAAAGGCTGCTGAGAGATCTAGCTGTTTGAAAGCAGGCCAGTGCAAGTAGATAAACAGGTACCGCTGTGGTGGGAAGGTAAATGGCGTTTTCATGCGCTCTGGTTTCCGTCATGGTGTCCCGTTGCACCAGAAGTGGTTTAGGCCTTCTGGCCACATGACCCAGAAATCTATCTGTGGACAAACACCGACTCCCTTGGCCTGAAAGCGAGATGAGCGCCGCAACCCCAGAGTCGCCTTCAACTGGACTTCACCGTCCAGGGTCCTTGACCTTTTTAACAGGCATCCCGTCAGCCATTGTGAGACCAGGATTAGATGGGACCCTGGCCTGATCCAGCAGGGTCTCCTCATGTTCTTGTGGGGGGGGGCAGACCCTCCAAATGTCCCAATTTTCCAGGGACAGCCCCGGAATTGCAGAAGCTGTCCCAGTTTCTGATTTGATCCCGGAATATCTTGGTTTTCCTTTTTCTCCTCCTCCTCCACAGAGAACAATTCAAAGTGGTGGCTGGGTGTGTAGGTGGGGAAGTGGAGTCCTGTTTCTCCTGAAAATAACTTCCGTGCTCCAGATGAAGGAAACACTCATTCTGACAGTTTCCATTAGTATTGTTAATATAGTCCACCTTTTCCCCTGGCAGCCTCAAGGCAGCTCACCACCACGTTTTTATTTCATTCCATTTATCTGTGGAAGGTGTTGTACACGATCCCTTCGCTCGCACATTTTTCCTTTACAACAGCCCTGCGAGGGAGACAGAGAGGCGACAGATCTCTGTGTGTCTATGATGATCAAAGGCAGAAGATGCTGACTGATGTGGAATGGGGTGTCCCTCTTTTCACTGGGGAAAGGTTAGAGGGCGTGGAGGTGCCCCCTCACCAGGTGACAGGTGCCCACTCCTGGCCTGGCCCTCTGGAAGGACCCCTTGCCCAGAGCTGAGCAGAGCTTTGAGGGCTCCTTTGAGGGCATCCAACTGGTCCCAAGCGGAGTTTCATCTGCCTGCCCAGCCAGGGCCAGATCTGTTTCTGGCAGGAGGCACTGGGACTTAGCCCCCCCCCCCGTAAAGCCCCTTCCAGATCCCTGGAAGGTGCCACCTGGTTGCCCCACAGCTCTCGTGCTTCTGACATGCTCAGATGCACCCTCTTCTTCTTCGCTACCTGGTAGGCAGCTGCCTTCAACCGAGTCAAGCCTCTTGGTCCGTGTAGCTCAGTCTTGTCCGCACTGACCGGAGCAGCAACAGCTCTCCCAGGGTTCCAGGTGGGGGGGGCAGTTCTCAGTACTGCACACCTGGCACCTAGATGCCAAGAAGGTGCTCTGTGTCTGAGCGCCCGCTGGCCCTTCCTTCGGGCTGACTTGTGGAAGTCTCCAGCGCCGTTATCTGTCTCGGAATAAACCCTGGAGGAGCTGGCCAGGCTGAGACCACGAATCGTGGCTGCCTCTGTGGCCCTGGCACGTCAGCCTGGCACCTGCCGCTTGCCTCAGGGTTGCCTCAAGCCACCTGCTGGGGAGAAGAGAGGATTTGCTGTGTCTCCTGGGTCCCCCCTGCCTTGCCTTTCTCTCTGTGGAGCTGGGTGGTTTAGGATAAGTTAGGGGGTTGGACTAGATGACCCCCTCGGGTCCCTTTCCACTCCACAGTGCTCTGATTCTGCGATATGACTGAATGGGCACAGTGTTTGGCTCTGCTCGACGCTCCCTTCCCTCCCCACTCCTATTCCATCAGCGATGGAGTTTGCCCCCCCTGCCCCAACCCCCGGTCCAGGACGGATGCCCCCCTCACCCAGCCCCTCCCCCAGCCCACCCCACTTTGCTTTGCCCTTCCCCCTCCCCCCCCCCCGCATTTCTCTGGGGAGAATCCTGCGCTTGAGTGAAAGGCGCTGGAATTGGGCTGGTTGCCCTGGCAACAGGTTGGCATCATGTTTGGCGGAGGAGCTCAGAGGGCAGGGAGCTAGCGGCGCAGCAGCCATGCCCAAGCGAGGATGTTGGCACGCCCCCCTGCCCCCCTCCCCCCTCCCACAGAAAACTGGGGTGACTCATTCGCCCACCAGCCCCTCACTCGGCAGCTGGAGCGGCGGCAGAGCAGAGGCACCCAGGCGCTTGGCAGCGCTTGAGAGCTGGGCTACAGGTGCCGCCTTGGGGAGGGTGGCACGGAGTGTGGAGCAGGGGGGCTCGGGGACTGCGTGGGGCGCTCTGGGTGCTGGCAGGATGGAGAGAGAGCCTGTGGGGCGCTGCTGCTGGAGACTCCCATGCCCCATACTTGGCTGGGTGTCCCAGAAATTCCCTGGGGAGATGAGGGTCCCTGGCATAAATGGTGCCACTGCCCCCCCCCAGCTGGCATCAGCGGCAGTGAGGAACTACTGGGGGGGCGTCTTCTTCACCCTCCCCAACACTCTTCTGTTTCCTGACAGCCTCGAAGAAAACGGAGTTGACGCCTCTTGAAATCTGCCCCCCCCCCCCGAAAAAAAGGAGATGGATCTCCGCCTGAGGGATCTGCGCTTGCAAGAGGAGAAGGAATTCCTGGAGAGCGTGGCACTGCCCCAGGCTGGTAAGGAGACCCAGGACAGAGGGTGGGGGGGTCTGTGTGGGTCAGAGGAGAGGGGGATCCAGAAAGAGGTGGGGGCGCCCCCTTTCTGCCTCTCTCTCTCTCTGGAGTTCCACTGAAAGAGCAACAGGTTGTGGAGGAATCTTGCCCTCCGCACAGAAGTCGTGGAAGATCATTCTGGGATTCCGAGACCTCCAGCTCCGCAGGCAAAAAACCTCAGATGGCACCTTTGTGCCTTCCCGTTTCATCGCAATGGGAAGTTCTCCTGCACAAGCATGCCGTCATGGGCTCCCGTTCATCTCAATGGGGCTTGTGCAGGAGGGTTCCCTGGGGGGGGGAGATGGGCATGTCTCAGGATCTAACGGGACCCTCAAGCGCCATCTCGCCCAACCCCCTTGCAATTCAGGAATCACAGCTCAAGAATCCCTGACTGACAGATGTCTGTTTAAAGATCTGCAATGGATTGCAGAACCGTGGAACTGATAATTGGAAGGGATCTCCAAGGCCATCTAGCCCAACCCCCTGCGATGCAGGAATCTGTGACAGATGGGGCTGCCCGACCAAGGAAGGAGAAGCCACCACCTTCCAAGGGAGCCCCTTCTGCCTGCCCAGTGGCTCTTCCTAAAGCTCTTCCTGTGGGTCAGATCTGTCCGTCACCCAGCCTGCCATCTAGGGGGTGCCCCACGTAATCTGCCCACCCCCCAGCCCTTTCCTTGCAGTCAAAGCAGCGACTGCCTTGAATGCCTCTGGCTCCTTTGACTGGATTTCTAGGCTGCCTCCGCTTTGGGGCAGAGACCTTTTTTTGTCCTCTCTCATAGGGGCTGCCCCCTTTGGACTCTTCTGATGTTCTTTGGAGCAGGAAGTTCAACAGGTGCCTGGCCCCAGCTCTTCCTGCCCATAGGTCTTTAAGGCATAGGAGCCCCTACTGAGGCTGCCCAAATGCCCCCCTGCCCAATCTTCAGAAGCAGAACTCCCCTCAATTGGCACACCAAGGAGAGGCACAGAATCCAAACCTGATGAGGAGCGGGTTGAAGGAGCTGGGGATGTTAAGCCTGGGAAAGAGGAGGCTGAGAGGAGATAGGAGAGCCACCTTCCAAATCTCAAGGGCTGTCACATAGAAAAGGGAACAAGCTGTTTTCTCCTGCTGTAAGGGTAGGACTCGAACCCATGGCTTCAAGTTGCAAGAAAGGAGATTCAATAGTGGATAGTCTCCCTCAGGGGTGTGGTCTCTCCTTCCTCGGAGGTTTCTAAGCAGAGATTGGATGGCCGCTATCATGGATGCTTTAGCTGAGATTCTGCATTGCAGGGGGTTGGAATGGATGACCTTTGGGGGTCTCTTCCGGCTCTGTAATTCTATGATTTTAGAAGCACGGCAAGCCGCCTTGCACTGAGTCAGATCCTCAGTCTGTTCGGCTCCATGTTGTCCGCAGTGATGGGCAGCCTCGGCTGTCCAGGCTTTCGCACTCAGGCCCCTCCCAACCCTGCAGGCGATGTCCTGGGGGTGGGGGTGGACCTTGCAAGGCAGGCGGCGTGTCCCCCTCAAGCCAGGGGGGCCCTTCCAGCAGCTTCTTTCAAGAAAGATGCAAAGGGTT